AGTTAGGTTTAGGGTTAGGTTTAGGTGAAGAGTTAGGTTTAGGGTTAGGTTTAGGATTAGGGTTAGGGGGGTTAGGTTTAGGTGTTAATTTTAGCTTTAGTGTTTACAGCGTGCTTTTTTCTCCGCATTGTTGTCGCACTGTGATGACGTCAGCTACGCGGTTTCGTCGAGCGCGCTTTAGTCGAACGCGGTTTTGTGGTGGAACCCATGTCACGACTAGTACTCCCCACTGGCCCTCCCAAGTCCTCTCCACCCCCCCCATCCCCACACTCTCTTCATGGCATTCTTGCATTCCTTACTTGGAATTCCTCTTTTTTCCTTCTTTAACAACCCACTTATCCAGAGTTTATGGCAGCCACCGGGACTGCCGAGACTGTCATCGCTACCTCAATTCACATGGCATCACATTTTACGATCACATTATTTAGTGTCAACAATCAACAGTCCCAACCGCTGTCATAAGCCAAGGATTACCTGTATCCTTGACTCTGGAGCATATCTGGAATGGTGATATAGAGAAGAAAGTGAAAGTATTTCACAGGAAATAGGATATCAAGGATATAGGCTAAGAGCTTAATAAATGAAAATGATACTCAACTTTCATTAACAAGAGAGGATAGAAGCATTCAAATTAAGTGGGGGCCATGATTCTGCAGAGGGTTCAGGATAATAAAATAGCCGCTTAATTTAATAAAAGTAGCTTAATATAAAATGAACTATAATGCAATATTTAACTATTTTGACAGATTTTTAAGGGGGGAAATGGACAAAAAGTAAACTTACCACATATTTCTGCGTCCCAGGGGAGGTATAGTCTTGCTTTATTTCCAATTCGAGTACATTTCGTTTTCGATTAAACGCAAAACTGCCATAAAATTTGACCACACTGTTTTGATCTCTGCAAAAACTCAATAGGAAAAAAAAATCTGGTCCCCTATATATTTTTCAAGTTTCCAGAATCAACTGCAATGCACAAGTTTCGCTTATTTAGAGCTTGAAAGGGTTGGTCTTCCCTGATGAACAGGTCAATAATAATAATAGCAATATATACCACTTCACAGTGCTTTACAGTCCTCACTAAGTGGTTTACAGTTAGCATCTTGCCCCTCAACAAACTGGGTCCTCATTTTATTGACCTCAGAAGGAGGGAAGGCTGAATCAACCTTGATAAAGGCGAGTTAGTTACATGTACAGGGGAGTCCTTGGTGAACAGCAGCAATTAGGACCAGAATGTCTGCCGCTAAGTGATGTGATTGTGAAGAGTGATATTATGTGACCATGGACACTTAATGACAGTGATTCCAGCACTTCCAATTGCCACATTTAAAAAAATAATAATCATGCTATTATTCAGCGTGATGTCATATGGTTACCATTTGTGGATTCCCTGCCAGCCTCCTTATTGATTTGGCTTGTGCAAAGCGGGCAGAACAGGTTGCAAATCAAAATCACATGACTGGACAATACTGTGAAAAACGGGCCATTTTTTGCTCATTTCTGCCCTCCCCAGTCCCCAGGAGCACTCTGGGAGCCTCCTAAAGGCTATGCACAGCCATTTTAGTGAAGGGGGCAGGGTTTTGGGAAGCCAAAAATACATTCAGTGTATTCAGTGTATGATGCACCCAGATTTTCACCCTCTTTTTTGAAGAAAAAGGTACGTCTTATACTCCGAAATATACGGTACATATTGAACACAGTGTGACCGTCCTGGCATTTCATCCCCCTTAGAAACCAAGGTGAAAGACAAATAACTTATATAGAACTATCATTGAATGAACGGTTGTTAGTTGAAGACTACTTGAACTTGTGAGCTGTTGCTAAAAAAGGAGTCACTAAACAAGGAGTGAATGGACTGAAATTGACAGAAATTCCGCATTTTAATGACCAAAGATGCTATTTTAGCAAAAACTATCTGTGGTAACAAGAATGTTGTTGCATTTAATTTTGTGAACCTCATTGTACTCACTAGGTAAAAACTCCAAAGTAGAACTACCAAATAGATTTGCAAGTTTCAAGATCTGTACCAATCATTCCATGCAATTAACTTGCATAGCGATTTAAAGTACTACTATGCATTGCCACAAGTGCTTTGGTGTTATGGATAACACCAAAAAATAAACATTAAATGTACCCTGAAGATGGCATTTGATTTTGTTGTACGTGTGCAATGACAATGAAGTAAATTAATCTGAAATGAAGATTTACAAGAATCCTTGGCTAATGTTGTCTTGAATTTTACTAGAGTTCCTCTGTTTTTCAGAGATGTCATGCTCCTTCCAGAGTTCCACCACTACCATAAAACATTTAAGCATGAAATGGGATTGGTCCTTGCAAAAAGAGATAACGGTTTGAACAATATTACCAAAGGTAGTTTTTCATATCTTAGGCTATTTGTTTAGATTGTCCTAAGAACAGTTGTTCTTCACCTTCAAGTAAGTAGCCCAAAGCAAAATAGAAAAGGATACACCCATTGCTTAATTAAAGGTTGAATGTCTTTGCCGGACACATTGGAAATGGATTTCAAAAACCCAGATGTAGACACCAGCATCTGACTCCACATATGAGATTGGAACTTCTGAGAAGAAGCAGTGCTAGCTAGACTCAACAATTTGTTGAAAACCTATGGTGAAATTAAGTCAGATTCAGAAAATTGGTCAGTTTCATACATCTAAACAGATTTTTTAACCTTGAGAAATGCTAATGACAGTAATACAACTGTGTACCTTTTAACAAAAGGGATACTTTTTCAGTTTCAGTTTGGAAACTGAAGATCACATTTGACTCTTCAACATAGAACCAGACCATAAAAATTGGTTTAATTTAATGAATGAAGAATAACTAGCAGGAACGTTTTCCCGATATTTAATTATTTCTGCCTTCTGTCAGTTTCTGCTTTCTGTTATTTAAAAAGTAAACATCTGCAGTAAACTTTGATTCTTTTACTTTGTATTGATAAAAAAATAACCAAGGTTAGTACTGCTTTTAAACATTCTATGAAGAACAAAGTCAAGCAGAGAGCATCAGAAACACCAAGTTTCAATATTTCATGAAAACAAAGTTGGCTTATTTTTTGAACTAAGCATATCGTGTGAATTCAGCTATTGTAAATTATATATTTTATGGTTTAATGTTGTGAAAATACAGCCAGTAAGCTTATTGAACACAGAGTTCAATTAAACCCTTGTTCAAGACACAAATGAAATCCAAGCTTCAAACCACATCGATTGCATACAATCTCATTATGCCAGCAACTACTTGTTGACATAAAGATAATTCTGAAGACAGATTAGTTTAAAATGCATCCTGTTTACAAATCAAAGATAAATAGTGTCATGCTGGATCAGCCTAATGGGAATGTTCCAGCAGCAGCAAACTTCCTGTCTCTGACAACATGCAAGAGCCCTTCCTAACTGTTTATCACAATTTCTCATTTTTAGATTAATGCAGTCTATATTCCAGAATTCCTTTTAGTACATTACTGTTTATACATTCAGAGTCCAATATAAAATAAGAAAAACATGCTTCTAAAAGCCTTCAATTTATTCTAAAACTGTTTCCATGGGAAAATAGAATAGACTCCGTTGTTTACATCAACAGGGAGCGCAACAGTTTTGTAAGAGGAGATCTGATTCCAGGCTTTGCTACTCTAGACAGAAAGAGCCCATTTGGATGTGTGTACAAAACAACCTATTAAAGGGGCAGTCATGCAAAGAAATGATCTTGGTATCTAGATTCAGAGAAAGATGCCAAGGCAACCAAATACAGAGCTGGGCTAATGACCTATTTTATCTGTAAGAAATAGAACAACTATTCAAACAAATATCAATATGGCAAGTATTTTTCAAGATTTAAGTTTTCTCCTGAGCAAACATTATAAAATGACGAAATTGTTCTCCCACATTCTGTTCCCAAAGACAATTTTCATCAATTTGTTTAAATTACAATTACAATGCTTATGTTAGTGCAATTTTTCACTCTATACACACACACACACACACACAGAAATTTTAGCCAACATCATCTGTGGTTGTAGATTAATCCTTCTTCTTAGCTTTATAACCAACTTCAAACCCTGGTTACGGGTCTTATTTAAACAAAGAATCTCAATGTTTTCTTGACTGACAATGTGTCATAATCTCTCAGCATTAATGGGGAGTATATGTTTGTATAGAATAGAAACAATTTTACAAATTACAAAGAACTGAAATAAATCATTTTAGCACATTGTAAGTAGAAAAGAAACAAAAAACGAATTTTAAAGGAATTAAATATATTTCAACAGAAGAGCCAAATACTTACTTGTAACATAAACTCCATGCTTATTCTGTTTTCTATCAGTCTCATAACTAGGTGGGCCTTGCATTGAAACATGGTATAGTATTCCCAGGATATCGTGTGAGGATGTTTTATAGAAAAGTGTAAATGGGATGCAGGGCTGGAAAAGTAAAGCAAGGTAATTTTTCATTCATGGTATATTTTATATGAAAACTATATATTGCAGCTGAGACTACAAGAGAAACAAAAAGGCAGATATTTTCTACTAATTCATGAATTACATTGAATTAACTGTAAACATCTGACTTAAAAACAGTATTCATGTTATTGCAAATTTTATTCACTTCTGAAGAAGTTCTAAGGTAAATGTAGGATGTAAAATGAAAATAATAAACAAAACATTCACATCTGTTTTTGAGAAAAACAGTAATTTGCTTGTATATGAATATTATTAGCATAATGATATATGAAAAGTTTTAAAAAGTGTATTGTTATTTCTCTTTATCATCATACTAAAAATAATGGCTATTCCATCATAATTCATCTCCAAGTATTTTATGGAAAGTAACATTTGGAAAAAGGATTCTTCTCAAGAAGAGGGAAACTGTTAAGATGACTGTATAAAAGCACTTCAGAGATAGCAATCTTATTGCTGACTTTTACAGCGGTATATAAACAAATCACTAGAATTGTAAAATGTTTAAAACAGCGAACTAATTGTAAAAAGCTAGAACAAAAAACACCAAAGATATAATATACATCAAATGTATAAGTAGCCTTTAAATCTCAAATCTGATTCTCTGACAAGGGTACTAAAGGACATCAACAATTTTCAGAGGGGCAACTATGTTAATATTTTTCAACTAAAATATGAAGCATCTTGTGGAAGCATAAAAATCCAAAAATTATAGAATAAGCCTTTGTGGATCACAAGTTTACATCTGAACTAAAGCATAACTTAAAAGAAACTTACAAAAAATGTGTCTTAAGCATTACAAGACCCTTGTTTACCTGCCACAAAACAACACATTCAACTTTCCCCTAATGCTCTAATTAACAAAATAATATTAAGTTATAAAATAAGTCAAATGTTATTTTCATTTCACCACTGAACCTGTTTCTTTTCACTGGAAAGGTTTTTGAACATATATTCCATTAATACAGTACAATGCAGTACAATACAATTTCACACACAGAGAGACACTAGAGATGTTTACCAAATAGGCCCTTTCCAAGGATTCGTCAATAGAAATAATTTAAGCTTAGGATCAATTTCTCATTACTATTCTAATAGGCATATATTAATTGCCCCGTAACTCTATCCATTATTTACTAAACGTACTTGTCCTTCTCTTTCCCTCCACCAAAGATCGGATGCAGTAAGACACCACCGGTCTTTAATTCGTACGCCACTATTTTGTCTAGTTCCTGAAATGCAAAAACATATTATATTCTTGAGCATGTAGTCACAGTAGTTTTTAAAAAACAACTAGATATAGACAAGATCTTAGCTGGTGTCACAACATGCACATCATGCTACCGTATTTTTCGGAGTATGACACTCACTTCCCCCCCCCCAAAAAAGAGGGTCAAAATTTGGGTGCCTCTTATACACCAAATGTAGGCCTGCCCACCCACTGCCCCCCACCCTTTGGTCTCTGCCTCCCAGCAATTTATCTCCTTGCAGCAAACCTGGAAAATGGGGCTTGCGGAGGCGGCAATAGGCTATGGCAATTCCTGCAGCCTGAAACAGCTGATCATCGGGAGGCCCTTGCTGAAACTGAAATTGAAATGACTGTTGGCTGCAAGGGGCAAATTGCTGGGAGGCAGAGGCAGTTTTTCCCCCTCTTCTAATCAGGCTGAATTGAAACAGGTTGTTTGCTGTAAGGAGGTAAGTCAATAACTATAAATGCCTATCGAATGTTCAAATTATTACTTATTTTTTAAAGACTGCTTTATTATTGTTCTAGACAACTTAACAAAATGAAGAAGCTTTTTAAAATAAATGCTTGATCTGAAGAGGCCCAGTGCTATTGTATCTTCTTTTAAATAGCAGAGAATAATGTATACTTACAGAAAGCCACATCAATTTTAACAGCATCTGTATAAGTATAGTCTGAAATGTAATACCACAGTGTATTTCGTCTGTACTGTTTACTGTTTGCTGCAAGGAGGCAAATTGCTGGGAGGCGGAGGCAGATTTCCCCCCCTTGTTTTCCTCCCCAAAAGCTAGGTGCATCTTATACTTTGGAGCATCTTATACTCTGAAAAATACAGTATGTGGGGATGAAAAGCATATTCTTTGAACCTAGCGATCTTTTTGCTTGCTGAAGTGGTGAATATGAACCACAAGGACATACTTATGCTAAACCACATCTGTCCACTAACAGCTGCATTCCAAAATTTAATCTACCTTTATGGCATGGATCCAGGCTACTTGAGAAAACCCACTTACTCTAGCAGAAGGGACATGCTGCGGACCCGTTGGCCAAGAACTGTGGCTGATAGGATCCAGGAAAAGAATCTTTTGTGTCATGGCATCCACACTTTGGAAGATCATGCCCCTTAAAGTGAACTCCACCCCTACCCACCTGGCCTTCCGAAAGAGTCTGAAAACCTGGCTCAGCCAACTGACTTGGGCACAGATGGGGACGTCCCATTTGGGAAGTGGCCAGTAGACTAGTAGAAGATCCCACCTCCACCCCATTATACCTGTTGGTTATTTTATTCATTTTGTTGTTAATTGTAATGTTTTACTCAATGCTTGATATTGTAATGTTTTTAATCTTTTACTTTATATCATTATTTATGTCATTGTAAGCTGCCCAGAGTCGGTCACAGCAAGATGGGTGGCATCCAGGAAGCTTCTTCAGCTCTGACTGGATGGTGGATCCTTCCATTCCCCACCATCCAGTCAGAGCTGAAGAAGCTTCTTGGATGAGAAGCGAAACATCTTCAAAGAAAAATCAGAAAGTCCAGTTGCTTCTTGAAAAAGCACCTTTGGGATAGATTATGTTAATGTTTCAGAAAGTTGTGTGTTTGATTCATGGACCACCCAGGCCTTTAATCCTTTTTTTTCCCCCCAGAATAATTCCAAACTGGCACATACTGTACATGTTATTTGTTTCTTGGTTTATGTCCCTCTATTTGTGATAACTTTGCTTTAAATATATGAAGACAACCAACAGCTTTGTTGAATTTATCCTCTGGAGATTTAGAGATGCTTCCAAAAGTTCTATCCATTGGGATGTATTTACCTCCTTAATCCAGTGACGATATTCATTAACACCAAAGGTTTTCTTCATCCAAAGTCCATAAATATAGCCAGAGATTCCCTTTAATACCCACTCATCTGACCTGCAAGTAAAAATGAAAAGACAAGCTATCTTTTGCTTCAGAATAGTCTAAAACTGCTGCTGCTGATACTATGTGACATTTCACTTTACCACACTACTTAATGATGAAGCTGTCAATCCCAATTGCAGTCAGTAAATGAGGACTACCTGTATTTTCAATTTATCCTTTCAGAAATGCTTTCCGTTTCTGCTAATTTACCAGCCATGTTTTGGGCTGCTCCTTGAGTATTTATTTGTTGGGGACTTTATTCATTCAAAATGTGTTCCAGGATAAGGCAAGAAATGTCTAAGTAAATTCAGCAGAGCTATTAATCATGGCTTTCAGAATTATTTGTGAAATCCATGATGGTACTAATACCAATCTCCTTTATGTTTAGCATTAGAGCTGCGGTGGTACAGTGGTTAGAGTGCAGTACTTATTTCTGACTGCCTGCTGCCTGCAATTTGGCAGTTCAAATCTCACTAGGCTCAAGGTTGACTCAGCCTTCCATCCCTCCAAGGTTGGTAAAAACGAGGCCCCAAATTGTTGGGGGCAATGTGCTGATTCTGTAAAACCGCTTAGGGAGGGCTGTAAAGCACTGTAAAGCGGTATATAAGTCTAAGTGCTATTGCTATCATGCTAATTCTTCATATACTCAAATGCAAAATTCTTTTTCCAAGGTATCCGTTTACTCACCAAGACATTCTAGATATAAAGCAGCCGAAGAACTGCTGGGCTAGAGCTTCAGCCAAGAACCTCCTGGTTAGAGGAGTCTCATCTATTATCATGGCACTGTGCAAAAGGTTCGTGCTAGTTTAAAAACATAACAAAGTAAATATCAAATGGGGAAAAATTAGAAAAGCAAGCAGTTCTTATACAAATATAAACAAACTATTTTATTAGTGGTTTTATATATTTAATAGCAGTGATATATAATTGATATCCAGGTATTTCTTACAAAAAACTTATCTGTTTACATAACTGCTGCTGGGACCATCCCAACTCTCAATCTCTTCTAGATGGACCCCTGGAACATGATCTGTTGGACTCCATAGGGAAATCAGAATCTATCTGAAGGCCAACGAAGGAGAATATTTGTAGCCCAGTTTCAAATGAGGGGTCCTTGGTGCTTTCTCAGCTTGGCTGTATTCCTGCTGTTGTTTTATTATTCAAACTAGGGTAATATCACACTGATGTTACCTAGTTGGGTAATGTCTACAAGGAAGCAACCAAGCTCAGAGAGCACCAAGACCTCTCTTTCTGAAGAAGGCAGTTAGACAGGTAACAGTACTTTATAGATAATCAAGACAAGATCCGTGGTTGTGCAGTGGTTAGAATGCAGTACTGCAGACTACTTCTGCTGACTGCCAGCTGCCAGCAGTTCTATTCTCAATGGCTGAAGTTGACTCAGCTTTCCATCCTTCCAAAGCTGTAAAATGAGGACTCAGATTGTTGGGGGCAATATGCTGAGTCTGTAAACTGCTTAGGGAGGGCTGTAAAGCACTGTGATGTGGTATATAAGTCTAAGTGGTATTCTTATTGCTATCAGCACCTTAAACTGGACCTGGAAACGTACTGGCAACCAATTTGTTCCAAAACCATTACAAACAGGTTATTTTACTGAATCGACTAATGCCGACTAGCAAGCAAACAGCTGCATTCAGTGTCACCTACAGTTTTGAAATCATCTTTAAGGACAGCCCAACTTAAGCAAACCATGATCATTTTTGTTCAGACAGGGTTAGGGTTACAATGGGTTACTGTTATAATAAAGACCAACCTAAAGAGGCTCATAGACGCGTAAGCAGCTACTTCGACATAGGCCTCATCTACAAAAACTGTTTTGAAGCAGGAGTAAGGGTAACGACAAGTAAGTATCTCTTCATAGAATTCAAATACTTCATGGAGGTATGACGTAGTATGTTTGAGCAGGGGAAGAAGTTGGGGTAAACAAAAATGGGTGACCTAGAATAAAAAATAGAAAGAAAGGAACATGTAATTGAACAATTAGATGGTAATTAGAGCAAGAATGGGAAAAACTTTTAACTCAGCAATGTTTGGCAAGTCCTACTGAACATAATATTAGAGTACTTTGGAAAGCCAGTGAAAGATTAATGATAGCCCTCAATAAATGATCTTGGCAAACAGGTTGCGTATAGTCAAAACTACACTAATGCTGGGAAATTGTATGGAATCAGGTAAATAAAAATTAATGTTTTCTGCAAAAACAGCAAAGGACAAAGGGCAGAAGAAATTTGTTATCAGTTTCCTTTGCCTTTTTATTCAACTCAAGCTTTGAAAATTAAGAGTTGCCAACAACCATGTATTATATGAAAACTAATTATCTTAAAATTTGTATATGAATAATACAACAAAAAGGATATCTAATTGCACTATCCAAACATTACACTAACATAAATCTACTTCAATATTAAATCAAATAAACTTGTCCAAGTGCGTTACCTCGTGCATATATGGATCGACAAGAATTTCAAATGGTCCAATAGCCAAAGAGATGTTAGATGCAGCAGTGGGGATTGGCAGCATATAATGGAAAGTCTTCTTTCTCATATCATGAGTATACACAGTTTCCACTAAATCACCATTTGAGATTGCCACCATTGTGGCATCAACAGTATATTCTAGTTTCCATGTGCAGAGTTCTGAATACGAATCAACACAAGGAAACCAGAACCTAGAAAGTTGGAAAAAATAGAAATAATTAATCTTTGCCCAATAAAGAGAAGCCACAGTTGCATTAATAGATGCAGTAAAATCATTAAAGTCCACAGCTAAGGGATAGTATAATTTGGACCAACAAAAATCTTAAAAACTTGCACCCAGCAAGGGATTTTGTATTTCTTTCCCTAATGTTAGGCTAATTTCTTAAAATATTGTGAAACGTCTTAAGTTTACCCAAAGTATATAACTGCATTAAATGTAATTTATTGTGTATGCCATGGGCAGCCAAAATCATTTAAAACCAGACATATTACCAGAGGCTAAAATGAGTGGTGTGGTGGCCTAAAGGTGGAGCTCTTGCCTCAGAGTCAGGAGGGTATAAGTTCGATCCTAGCTAGAGGCAGATATTTCTCTCTCTGGGCATAATGTGAATATATCTGCTGAACAAAACTCTGCATTGGCGACTGGAAGGGCATCTGGCCAGTAAACACTCTGCAAGCACATTCAGTTCTTAGGCTACTCTGTGCATATTACGTGAAGCATTAGCTGTCTGGTGAGGACACTACTGTTGGGAAAGATGGAAGGATGACCAGCAGCAAGGTGGATGGACTCAGGTGGAAGACCTCAAAGACCAGGTAAAGGACAGACTGTCATGGCAGAAAATCTATGTGATTGCTAAGAGTTGATAGCTACTTGATGGTGCACCATCAAATGAAAAGAAATAAATATAAAAGAAAAATAAATGTATTTAGTTACGTACGCAAGAACTACCGTGTTTCCCCGAAAATACGACCTGTCTTAAAACTAAGGCCTTGCCACATTTTTCTGGTGGGCAAAAATATAAGTCCTCCCCCGCAAATAAGCCCCCTGGACAACCCCCCACCTCCAGCCAGGCAGAGCGCCACTCACCAACCTAGCGGTATCCCGAAGGCGCCAAGCAATGCGATCACCTTTGCCTCCCCCCTGGTTCCCGCGGCTTGGCACCTTCAGGATACCGCTAGGTTGGTGAGTGGCGCTCTGCCTGGCTGGAGGTGGGGGGTTGTCCAGGGGGCTTATTTGCGGGGGAGGACTTATATTTTTGCCCACCAGAAAAATGTGGCAAGGCCTTAGTTTTAAGACAGGTCGTATTTTCGGGGAAACACGGTAGTTCTTGCGTACGTAACTAAATACATTTATTTTTCTT